CCGAGCTGGCTCATTCTCGACCTTGCCGCCTCCCCATAGCCATTTTTCCTCGAGCAGGTGCTGTGGCATTCTCGGCAGCAGTTGACTGCGCTTCCTGTGTCACCTTTCTTTGCACCTTGCCGACTCCACTGTTCACTTCCGTGGTCATGGGGAAACGCGCAGGTGAGTCTCTGGCAGATCAGCGCGCGAAGTTGGCGAAGAGGCAGGCCCAGCTCGACATACTGGAGAGCAAGAAGAAGCTGAACAGAATCTTAGGCAACAATGCCCACTTGCATGAGGTTCTGTTGAAGCACTGCCACAACTTAGGGTACCATGAGGATGCAGATGCAGGTGGCAACCGAACCATACCGAATCGTCTCAAACTACAGCCAACTAGCTACACAACACAGTTTAGGGTGGCACGGGGGAAACGTTCAATGAATTGTCTGCGCGCGTACGTTTTCAAACTAAGGAGGGGGAGGGGGGCGGCGGAAGAGAAACGCCTTGGCGACTCGCGTTGCTCTACGGAGGAGGCGGCGGAGGAGAAACTGCAGGGCGATTCACATATGGCAGGGGATGGTGGGGCACAGGGGAGGCATGCGAGGGAAGGGGGGGTTGGAGGAGGAGGAGGTGGCAGTGCGGAGGATGAGGAGGATGGGGAGAGAGGGAGGGGGCGAAGGGGATCAAGAAGTAGAGACACTAGACACATGACAGGCTGTATTGATTCGGTTGGGCGCCTAACCAGGTGCGACTCTCGCAGAGCACCAGGCGGCGCCTCGCAAGAAGGCCCCCCTCGCCATTTCAGATGCAGTTCCCATCGAGCCAGCCGTTGGATTGGTCGGACAGGCACCTGCACCTCAGAAGGAGGAATGTGCTACGTGGGCCAAATCACCGACCGAGTTCTTGTTGAAGAGGCTGGCCGCTTGCGAGCCTGTCTTGTGCGCGCCGATGGCGATGCGGGCGATGATCCCTCCTGGCAAACGCCAGCGCGTCAAGTCTGAGTTGCTCAAGTTGTTCGAATTTAACACTGGTCGTGACCCTAACGGGGACATCAGCGAGGATCTTCAGGACGAGGCCATGATGGACTCCGGCTTGGAAGAAGATACGTCGCGCAGGGGGCATCGCATGGCCCGCATGCCCTTGCCTCCAGACTACAACAAGCACGGGGTGTACCTGTGGGATCCAAAGACCAGCACGGTCAAGCACCGATTCACTCATGAGGAGGTGGGGCTTGACCAGAAGACCATCGATGCTATGGGCAACGTGTCCAAGGCCACCATCTACAGCAACTGGAGCGAGATCAATGCGTGCCTCAAGGTCCCAGGTACCAGGGTCAACATTCGGTTGGGCCAGTTGTTCCCTGATCAGTTCCCGACTCGCGGCTCCCCATCCAAGACTTCACCGCCAGCTCCTAAAAGTCTCAGCAATGGCAGCTATAAGACCTCTATGTCAGGGTCACCGCTGGATGCGCCCAGGGACGAGGCTGCCGTGCTGGTTCCTTTGCCTCCAACTGGTGATTGAGTACTCCAGTATGCTTGGACGCCGTGGGCATTTCGTTTGAAGAGAATTCTGTTGGCCGATGCTACAGCATGTGGGTTCACTCGTGATGTAAAGTAGGATCGAGTGGTTGCTGCATTGGGTCTTTAGGTCTCCACGCGAACTCGTGTAGCAGGGGTGTCTGTGAGGGTTCGTGCTGGTCGCGAATTCCGCTGCCAATTGTGCGCAGCTGCAGCGAGTGCAGCAACGCGGCTTGCCTTGGGCCACTTGTGAATCACACCAGCCTCCAAGAAACAAGCGTTGGAAAACAACAGTTGTGTTGATGATAAGGGTTGCATTTGTTGCAGTGATGATGCCAATGTTGATGCTGTTGACTACGTTTATGGCAATGCTGACGAGTGAATTGTAGGCCGGATGTCTTCCAAGTCGGCGATAAGGGGCGCGCAGGGGAGGGGGGGTCTCTGTCAACCTTGCCTGAGGGGTCGTCCAAAACGACGTGTAGGGGGGGGGCCTGGGAAACGACTGGCTCGGGATGGACTTTTCATTTGCATTTCCACAGAAGACCCCAGAGCCGACTGCAAATGGGTGGGAGGAGGAGGGGGAGGCGGGGGAGGACGAGAAAGGGGAGGGGGGGGGCTTGCACCCCCCCGCTGACTCTAATAGTGTACTCAGCGTCGGGTTTGGGGTTCCAGGTTGCACGCAATAGTCATTATGTGCCTCAGCCATTTCCACTCGTCAAGACTTCTGTGATAGCACAGCACTATGCCCTTACCAGACTCCGAATGTTGGTGGAAGAAGGTGAGTGCCATATCAAGTTGCGGGGGTTCTTTGGATCTTGTTTGGCATGTTAGGGAGTACGATTGGGGCGCAGAGTCTGGTGCGCAGCCTCCGCACTTCTGGGAGATCCGCCATTACCTTGACCGCATATACAATGAGAAGAAGGGTGTTTACGTAATTGTCAACAAGCACAAGTTTCATTGGGTCGGCGTGCTGACCCGCATCGGCGTGTCGATCACGGACCACCTGCACGTCCCCTGCAAGTCTGCCAAAGTTCACGGCCTGTCTTGTGAGTTGGCGTCATGCGAGTACGAGGCATCGACAATGTTGACGGTCATCATCCTTATGCATGCCAGGGCCCACCCTTACAAGAAGATCAGTGCTAAGGCGACTGGTGTAATGCACGCGTTCTTTCTATCAGCTCTACCCGCAGACAGCTTGGGCGGCGTGTGCTACTTCGAGGTGCCACTCGATATCGTCGAGGCCTTCGCTGACACCGCCGATGGCGACAAGGTCATGGTTGATCGCGCCAGGGGGGAGCTTCAGAAAATCCACGGCAACAGTCGAGCAGATCCTCAGTCTAAAGTGGCGGACCAGTTGAATTTATTGTACCATATGTCTGAGAACAATGAGATGATATTTCAGTTCTTCGAGCGCGTGGTCGTCGATTGCGTTGTGGCAATCGATAAACACAGGGTCTGGGAATCTACGTTCACCAACGACTATCAGAAGGATGGGAGAGACTTGACCCTGGCAGGTAAGTGCAAGCGCAGGAGGATGGACCCAGGATTGCAGAAATCTCTGGCTCGTGTCTCGTCGCAGAGGCTAGCTAGAACGACGTCTGCGTTCATCAGGGCGAACCCTGGCCTCTACGGCGCCAATCACGGGCTACGCTTCAACGATCAATCTGTAAGGTCGAAGTTATCTGCGTCATGGTTGAGCTTCTCGGAGTCGCAGCACGTCAGCGTGGTGGCTGATGGTATCACGAGTGGGTCCCCAGCGACTGACAACCTTGTCATTGCCGCGTACGACCCCGAGAAGAGGCGCTCGACCTGGTTGCCGCCAGTGGACCACAACTGGCTTGAGCCAAAAACAGACGAGGGATTTGAGCCGAGGGGCCGAGGGGGAAATGGGGAGGAGGACGGAGAGAGGAGGAAGGCGGCAACGGGAGGGGTGGTGGTGGAGGGGGGAAGGAGGATGCAGGAAGGAGGAGACAGGAGGTATGAGCCAAGAAGGACGATCGAGTAGCACGTATCTCTAACGAAAAGGAAACCCCTTCCCGAGGTAGGGACGGTTCTGGGAGGGGCGGTTTTGGGCGTCCCAGGGGGGGCGGATTGCGAGGATGTCTCGAGCGGCGGCCCCCCAAAACCGTCCCTACCCAAAACCGTCCCTACCGCCCCGACCGGTACCAGACACGTGCATCCCTGTGAGGGGTCTGTCGGGCTTCCTCCTTCCCCCCTCCCATCCCTCCTCCTCCTCCTCCTCCCTACTTCTCCCTCCTCGCCACCACCTCCTCGCCTACCCTGTGTTTCTTTTTCTGTATCCGCCCTCCCTTAAGGAGATGGCGCACTTCGCGGAGGACCAGCCTCTGCCCTCGAATGTTCTGGACAGGCCTGCAGCCCAGGTGCATTACCAGGAGGTTGCAGTCCTCAAGATGCATGCTTTCTTTGACGCGGAGGCCAAGACCAAGTTGACCCAAGAGTTGCAGGATCATCCAGAGTTCAAGCAACAGCGAATCGCCAACACCGAGTACGGGCTGGCCCTCGACAAGGCCATGCAGGTCGGGATCGGTTGCCCCACGTCGAGGTTCATGGTCAAGCACCCCTTGCAGCCGCTGAAGCAGACCGAGCAGCGCTATTTGGCCATGGTCGACTCGCCGTTGGGCCGACAGCAGAGATGCTGCATCTTCGATACGCTGGCGAAGAAGGCGAGGCTCGAGCTGATACACGACATCTCCAACGGCAAGGTTGTCCAGCCCACGTTGTACATGTGCATGGACCGTTGCAGCGTGGGTCGAGGTATGATGGATTTCTTTCAGGTCGGGACATCTATGAGAACAGTTGGCCATTATGACCCATGGCATATCATCGAAGGTTTCATCAAATCAGCGTATGTTGCGTGCGGTCTACATTCTCGCAAACTTCAAGCCATGGTGTGCTACCGTGCATTCAGTGGTCCTTTTCATTCGTGTGCTTTCTGGAACGCGTTCAAGTCATGCGCCACCCACTTCTTCAAGATACCCAAGAGCGACTGCCCTCTGTATGATATTTGCTACCCGTTGATCTGCGAGGACAGGGGTATCTCAATGGAGCAACAGATTGACCCGAGTTTCCGAGAGAAGCTGTGGATGTTGCTTCCATCGTCTGCTTGCTTCCATCGGATGGGGTTCCAGCCAGTGTTAGGCCGGTGGGGGAACTTCGAGTCCAAGCACACTGCCTTCAAGCCTGACCGCTCGGTCATACTCATGATACTGCTCCACATGGGCATTCAGAAAGGGTGGTGGAAGGACGTCCAGCACAGCCCCCTCTTCAAGGTCCTGACTGGCGTCGGTGACGTATGCGACGACGGCGGCCTCCATGATCTCGCTGGAGGTGGCGATGATGCAGATGGTCCCCCAGATCCGCCTGCCCCCGCAGGCGGCCTCGCGCTTGCAGCGAAGCCCAAGGTTAAAGATTCGAACGCGGCACTCCAGCGGGTGCGGCAGTCTCGTGTCAATACGCTGGACTTTGCATGTTGGTACTTGGCCGACATCGAGGGTTCGAGGGAGATGGACGCTGCGACGATTGCGGTGGGGCCTTTGACAGAGTTGTTTCACGTGCACCTTACCACGCACAAGACGCTCTGGGGTCACCAGGAGTTCTTCAACGGGCTCAGCGAAGGTCTGCTGATCGATACCATCGTGAAGACATGGGATTTGATGCGGGACCCGAGCACCATGCGGTCCCTTGGTCTTGCTACGTTCGACCGCATGGGCTGGACATCCCTAGAGTCCGACAAGAAGGTTGCCCAAGTTCTCTTCGATTGCTGCGTCTCGGTCACTGCCAACCTAGGGGTGTACGAGTTCGAGTTCACGCACAGTCTGCACGGTTTCTGCCCGCGGCTCCTCCAGACTACGGACCAAGCGACGCTCAAAGAGGAGCGGCTGGGTTTTGTGAAAATGCAATAGGGAAGGTCGGGGCGATTTACATGGGGAGGTTGGGGAACTTGGGGGTGATTCCGTGAGGGGATAAGGGTGATTCGCAATCGAACTACCCCCAGGACCTTGACACGTTGCGTACGTGGTGGGACATACTTACTAGATTGGAGGCCGATCTGCGTTTTTTTTTTAGATGAGCTGACGGCCAAGTGGGAATCGTTTTGATGGCCGAAAATGCAATGGTGCAGGGCAGTGCTTGTCAGACTTTACGAGGCAGAGTTCAAGAGTGTCCCCGACGACGTCAAGGATAATATCAAGTTGTGGCAGCAGTCGTTCCGAGTTTCACTTCCTTGCGAGATGGGCGGGAGCCACTTGAGGACCAGAGAGCGCGCCCACCCCAGCAAGCGCATGTCGAAGATTGAGAAGTGGCACACCTTGCAGGAATCACCTGTCCTGGCAGATTTCGAAAGGTTCCCAGTGAAGGTTACTGCAGTTGCTGATGCCAACAAGCCTGCGAAGATCGCGGACTCCAGCTTCAGCGCGAAGGGATGGGTGCATTCGCTTGGTGCTGAGTTCGACCGCCTAGGTAAGGAGGCAGACTGGGTTGCAACAACGCACGAGAATCGCATGCGCTGCTTCATGTCGTTCGCAGCTTTTGTAGCAGTGAATGGTGACTGGGAGAAGCACTGCAAATTGTGGTTCGGATTATTCGCAGTTGTTGGACACCTGATTCATATTCCATCTACTGGTGCATGTGGCAGCCTCAGTGACTTCAATATCGGATCGATCGCTTCCATGTTGTTGTTCGTTCGAGCTTGAATGCGGTAGGTCGTGGTCGCATCAGGGTTCGTGCCGAAGCAACGCCCCCTACTCCTCTTACGCGTTGTCGCTCTCCGATTCGCCCTCTCCACCTGCCTGGATAGGAACCTGGCCTTGCCGAACCCCCATCATTGGCACGTCGGAAATTGCGTGTCCCCGCCGACACGTCAGCTTTGACATGCGAATGATGTGGCGTTCGGTGTCGCACTTAGGTGGCATTGTGTGCTCAGTGTCTGCTACTGGGGTGCTGGTGGCACCCGCGAAACGGGTGGACGTTGGAGGAATCGTCGGGTACCGAGTGTGTTGCATTGATGACGAGACTGACGCTTTGAAGATTTTCTCGGTTACCCATGTTGACCATTATCAGATGACAGCCGTGCGCCCGATGGTGCCACGAGAGCTCCCCGAAGGTCTGGAGGGCACAGCCTTGCAACCGTAACTCTGGGCCATGGCCTAAGAGATGAGATCTGGGTAAGGGGGCAAAGCGGCCAGGGGGAGTCGAATGTCAGTGACGCCACTCATCGAGTTACGGTTGCTCGGTAGCCCTGAAAGGTTTCACGCTGGAACAGCGCTGTCAATTATATTTGACGCCGTGCGATGTCATAGACGGCAAGTCAACTTTCAGCCTGATGGAGTTTAGTGTTAACTTTAGTTTTCCCAATCTACGTGTAACAGCCTTCAAGAAGATGGTGGGACATCTCGAGATCAAGACGAAACACATTCCTACTGCTGAGAAGGCGTTGTTCAAACTTCTTGTCAAAGACATCATCGGTGACGTTACTGGTAAACGAATTGAGGAGCTTTGGGCCTTGAGGGGTAAGGCGACCAGGGAGGAGAAGGAGAACAAGGACAAGGCTATTTTGTCCGAGAACTTCTCCCACTGCGAGGGCGTGCTTGACGACAACGACGTCAAGCAGGTGAACGACATCGTCAAGGAAGCGAAGGAGCAGCTGCGCAAGAAGCTCGCCCACTACGCGGAGAGACCCAGCATGGCGGGGGTCGAGACTGACGATCGCGGTTCGGTGATCAAGCTCGGGTGGGCCCAGGCGCTCCTGCCCCCAGATTGCAGGCTCGACAAAGACGACAAGCTGTTCTGGCGCTGGGCAGGCTCTATGCCCAACAGGGTGAAGAAGCCTAAGGCCTTTACACGGGTCTGGGGTGGAGACACTGGCAGGACGGAGGGGAAGGCACTTCGGCTAGTGCTGGAGACGCTATGGGAGTGGCACTCGGACGGCACCGAGGCGACTAAGTGCCCCCACGACTGGGATAAGCTCCTCCCAGTTGTTGCATGATGTGCATGAGTGGAGCTTCGGGGGCGATTGCTGCATCGCGGGGGAGCCCGCATTTGGGGAAGCTGTGGGTACTGCTGCAATTGGGGTGCCTCTTGGAGCTTCGCGTTGAGGCCACGTTGGCTTTCCCACGCGCCTGTGAGAGCCGTCTCGCTGGTGCTGCTCGCTGCTGGCCTGGAGGTTCGGTGAGTTGGCCGAACGAGTTGCGGGGTAAAATGTTAAGGTCCTGTCGCCACCACATAAGATGTCATCACGCTGACTTGTCACATTTGTGATTCTGACGCTGTCCCAATACGTGTCTTCGTTATCGAAAGGCTTGCGCCTACATCCGCCTACCTCTAGTCACGCGTTTCACTCGCACCTTCGCTAGATGAGTGCATCTCCCCCCGTAGTTTGTAGCATCAATATTTGCAACAACCACCTGCCTCCTCTCTCCTGCTCCCCGCACCTCTCCCCCTCCCCTCACGTCCCGCTGCCTCCCTCCTCGCTGACCCTCCCCTTCCATCCATCCCTCCTCCCTCCTCGCACTCCAGTGCTCCTCCCCCTCCTCCTCCTTTGTTCCTCTTCTCCCCCCCCTCTGTGTTCTCGCAATGCTGCCTTTCCTCCCCCTCCCCCCACTAGTTCCAGATAGGCACCATGACCAAACACAAGTAACACAACAAATGCATACACAAATGACCTGGCACTGCTTCCTCCCCCTTCCCTGCCTCCTCCTCATCATCATCCCTCCCCCCTCCCCCCCTACCTACTCCTCCCTTCCTACCTACTCCTCCCTTCTTCCTCCTCGCCTTTCCTCCTCCCTCCCTCCTCGCTTCCTCTTTTGTTTGTTTTCAGCTGAGCACCAAGTGCGCAACCTAGGGTAGCGGTGCTATGCGCTTCCATCAGGTAGCGGACACACCCGATCAGCGTGCGTTTGGTGCTAGATTTCCCTACATGTCTGGGATCCCCCCAAACCCTAGAGTCGGTGGGCGGTTGGGTCGGTTTCGGGCACGCCAGACGCTCCAACACGGCCCAAGAGGCTCCGTAGATCGCCCCAGTACTGCCCAAGAGGCCCCCAAGAAGGCCCCAACACGGTCCAGGAGGGTTCCAAGACCGCCTAAGAGGCGCCCAAGGCGGCCCAAGAGAGCACCAAAACGGCCCCAAAAGAGGCCCAAGAGGGCGCCCAAAAATCCAACATTTAAGTTTTCCGCCGCGAGCGGGCCCCGAGAGGCCCCAAGAGGGCCCCATGAGGCCCCAAGAGGCTCCCCAGAGGCCCCAAGGAGCCCCCAAGAGGCCCCCAAGAGGCCCCAAAACGATCCCAAGAGGCCCACAAACAGCCCCCAAGAGGCTTCAAAACTGCCTCCCACAGGCCCCCGAGAGGCGCACCACGAGATCCCAACACAGCGGTCTCCCTCTCATTATCCCTTCTCTTTGTCGTCGCCTTCTTCGTCGTCGTCGTTGTCGTCGTCTCCATCCTCTTCCTCGTCTTCATCCTCCTCCTCCTCCTCCTCCTCCTCCTCCTCCTCCTCCTCCTCCTGCTCCTTCTCCTCATCCTCTTCAGCTCTTCCGGTTCAGCTCAATCGGCACAGGACTGAGGAGGAGAAACAGGAGGAGAAGCAGGAGGAAGGGGGGAAAAGAAACGGGCACAGAAGAATACGAGGACAAATAGAACGAGGAGCAGATAAAGGAGCGCGGAGGAGAAGTAACGATTACCACCCAGCTAGCAAACGAAGCAAGGGGAAAAGGATGAGGAAGAAGCAGTAGTCGAACCCGCTTCGTTTTGGATTTCCTCGCAACTCCGACTGCGGAAGCGCATTGCTCCATAGTGTTCCCGCTTTCTTCGCCTGAGACAATCTTGCAGACCTTCCGAGATGCGCATGTGCATGCGCGCCCAGGGCTGCGCAAACGATTTGCGTATACGTGTACATACCCTTGCACGCGTACATTCATATTCACAAATGCAACGTGTACGTATGGGCGCAGATGCGCGCGCATGTACGCACGCACGCACTCCGCTAGCTTGCGAAACTCAAGGACCAAGGTGCATGGCGCGCAGCGCCAGTGCAGTCTTGTGTATATATATATATATATATATATATGTGTTGGGCGCCTCCTTTTCCGTTTCGGGGCCTTTTGGGGCTGTCTGGGGATTCTCTTGGGGGCGTTTTCGGCCGGGTGGGGGTGGTTTTAGAAGTCTGTGGAGCCGTTTTGGAGCTTCGGAGGTTCGACAAGGGGCAATACATAACGGAGATCAACGACTTTTGCATTTTGGGTTCTCCGGGGGGTCTATTTGGAGCGTTTCCGGAGATACGGTCGGCCCTTTTGGGCAGTCTTGGAGGTATCCTCGTCCACCATGGCAGCTTTGCTGGCTTCCCAGATCCGTCTTGGAAGCCGTTTTGGGCACTGGCGATGCCGTGGGGCGCGCGAGTCGATTAACGGGAAACGCACGGTGCGTTGTTCAAACGAGAAATGTTTGTCGCTTTTCCCAGAGGAGGCGGATATGTCCGATGCACAGAAGAAGCACAAAACAGCGGGGGAGAGGCTGTGTCAGAGGTGCGCGGAAGAACGTCACAGGACGACGCTCGAGTCGAATAATAGGAAACGGAGAGCCGAGGCGGACGCGAAGCCGCTGACGTGCGCGGCGTGCGGGGGAGCGTCCTCAGACACGAAACGTTTGAAGCAGACGCAAAAGGAACATCATCGAAAGGCGACACAACTCAAAGTCGTGTGCGGAGACTGCACAAAACTCGGGTTCACCGCGCGCAGTTGCCAGGCGTATCAGTGCAGCGGCGCATGCAAGAGAAGACTACCGAAGTCGGCGTTCCCCGATCCGCACAATGTCCCGCGCGACGCACAGAAGGGCACCCTGAAGTGCAAGACGTGCAAATGATGCCCAATCGGGCGCGCGTGCTTGGGAGAAAAAGGAGGACGGGGAGAGAAGGATGGGGGGTGAGGCGGACAATGGGGGGGAGAAGCATCGCATAGGGTGAGGTGAAGCGGGGCAGGAAGAGGAGGGGGACGACGAGGAGGTGGGGGAGGAGGAAGAGGAGGGGAGGGGGCACTGAGATGAGGCTCTCGGTTATGGGTTGTGGGGTAGAGGTTTGTGGTATGTGTATGGGGATGGTAGAAGCCGGGGAGGAGGAGGAGGGGGACACGGAGACAAGGTTCTGGGTCATGAGTTGTGGGTTAGAGGCTTCAAGTATGTGTATAGGGATCTCGCGGCACGCCTCTCGGGGGCCCCTGGAATGCAGTGTTGAAGTCACTTGGGGGCCGATTCGGAGGTCCTGGGGGGCTTCCACGAAGGCGCTGCAGCGCGTCTGGCAGCGCGCGAATGCTGTGGACAGTAGGGAGGAACAAAGCAGGAGGGGGAGACGACGGGGGAGGAGAAGGAGGAGGAGGAGGAGAAGGAGGAGGAGGAGGAGGGGGAGGAGGAAGAAGACGACGAGGACAAGTGAGGATCTTGTCGTGGATCCTGGGAGGGATTTTTCTCGAATGGCCTGAGGCCCGTCCCGCCAATCCCGCCACCGTGCCTGGGCTGTGAGTCAGAGGCCTCTGGAGTGTTCTTTGGGATCTCGTGGTCGGTCTCTCGGATACCTCAAGTGGTACCGACCGAATACCACGCGAGGTGCGTCGTCCGTATGCCTCAAATTGTACCGCCCACACGTTGGAGACCCTTTGGGGGCAGTTTTGGGGCCTCTTGGGGCCTGTTTTGGGCCTCTTAGGGCATGCTTGGGGCCTTTGGGGGGCCTCTTGGGGCCCTCTTGGGGGGCCTCTTTGGGCTTCCCGGGGGCGTCTGGGGGCCGAGGGCTCGAAATGATTTTTTTCCCCCCTCTTGGGCCCGTCTTGGGGCCCTCTTGGGCCGTTTTGGGCGCCTCTTGGGCCGTCTTGGGGCCCTTTTGGGCCGTCTTGGGGCCATCTTAGGGGCCTCTTGGGCCGTCTTGGGGCTGTCTTCGGGGCCTCTGGGGCCGTCTTGGGGCGTCGGGAAGCGGAAAACGCGAAAACCCAAAATTCATTGAGAAACAACGGACAAATCAAAGATGTTGGCTTCTCGGGGCCCTCTTGGGAGGCCTCTTGGAGGCTTCTTGGGGCATCTTCGAGGCCTCTTGGCCCGTCTTGGAGCCATCTTGGGCGTCTTTGAGCGCTCGTTTGGCGTCTTGGGGCCCTCGTGGGCCGTCTTGGAGGCCTCTTGGGGCTCTCTTGGGCCCGAAAAAGCCCCGTGAGTCGCTCGCGCCGGGCCATGGGGGGGGTCCGGGGGGGGGTCAAATCTCCGGTTTAGAGTCCCCAGGGGGGGGTTATGGGGGGGGAGCAATCTCACACGCTTCGAGACCCGCAAGGGGTCGGCGGACTTGGGGCCTATTCTCCGGGGGTTGCTACAAGTGCCCCGGGCCAAAGGTGCGCCCAGCCTTTTGCTCAGTTCTTGGGGCCTCTGGAGCCCTCTGGGCCTCGTTGAGGGGTGCTCTGGAGGCTGTGGGGGCCTCCGTGGAAGTCCTGGGGGGCACCTTGGAACAGGGGCACTTCTGGCAACACCCGATACTTGTGTTCGGCGGCTCTCCTCCGTGTTCCAGTGCAGGTCCAGCTGAGAATGGATACCGCTCAAGATAGCAGGATGCAAAGGCAGCGGCATGCCCTGCCTTTGCGTTTGCGCGTGGTTTCTTAGATTCCTCGCTCGTGTACTCTTCCTCCCTTTTTTCCCGCGCTCAGCGTGGCCTCTTGTGGTCTCCACCGGGCCTGCTGCTCCTTCGGCTTCTCTATCTCGCCTGGCTCTGGCGGCTAGCACATGCCTCTCGCCTGTCCCGTTTGATCCAGCCGCCCACGGAATGATATATGCAGTCCGAGCTCCAGCAAAACCTGTATCCATCCTAACCCTTTCTCTTTTCTCCTTCATCATTCCTACTCGATCCTCCCTCATCCATGATTTCTCCGACCTCCCTCACCCAGTCCTCTATCTTCCTCCAGAACTATCGATCTCCACTTTCTTCCTCCCGTTTGCTCCACCCGCATCCTGCCTCCTCCTAGCTCCCCTC